GTGTATCTTCCTTGCTTCTTAGTATATGTTCAATGATTGATTTATCATTTAATTAAGACTGCTCAAACAAGAGCAGGTATAGCAATGTAATAGTTAAACAAAAGCGGGGAGATGTAGGGGCCCACTCCAAGGACGGAYGGACAGTGTCTATTAGCAGGCAGGATGCCTTGTTAGTAGATAACTACCTTCAAGGCCGACAGTGTACTTGTTCCATCAGCGGACCAAAAACAAAGGCAGCTGTGCGGCTGCTGCGTGACCATGAAGCTGATTGGACAGTAACTGTGGCGCACTTGCTTTTAGATATAAAAGGTATTGTATCCGGGACCTTATAGGTAAACTTACAAAGGATTGGATGCCAGCCCCAGAGATGGTGGCAAGATAGGGATAAGAAGAGAACATGCCAAATCCTCATTGGACTGATGACAGATCAGGGGCGCGGGCTTACTGCATAAAAGTGTGCTGGAATCTGCAATAAACGGGCAAGGTGATAAACTCATATTGAGTCAGTTCTTGTAACCGGCTTCGATCTCCTACACCTTGTAGTTACTCAGTATAGGCCACTAGAAGACTCATATTCTCATGTTTCCTTGTCTCATCCAGTTGGTACTCAGTGATTCCTACTCCGGTTCCCAGAGCTGTGCCTTCCTCAGTAAGGAACTACCAAACAAAAAGAAGAAAGAGAAAAAACCTTGGCCTGGAGTACTCATGCATAAACTACTGAGAACTTCATCATTATATAGGTTTGTTTACTGCAAGTTTGGAAGAAGATTTGTGTAGCCAGGGTTTCCAAAACTTCTTTTCCTAGAAGCTTCCTAGAAGGCTCAGATTTGTTTCATATAAGTTTCCTTGGCACACGACTAGAGTGAAGTCCAGGCTTTTGCCCGGAAGGCTGTCTGACAAGTCAAGAAAGCTTCTGGAAATGTTTCTCAATCTGCATCCCTAGGATGAACTTGTGGGTCTGCTGAAATTAGCAGCAGTGACCCAGTTTGCTTAAAAAGAGTAAGATTTCTAGTGCCACAGGTGATGCAGAGATGTCAACACATATAGATAAGTTGCCTGTTCCTCACACAGCAAGGGCTAATGTTTATTTCATTATGTATAGGACAGTTTACTAACATATTGCATTTTCTGAGAAGCCAAGATATGTTTTACAATAAGACTCAGAAATCCCTTTATACTTCTCGAAATCTTTTGAGCTACAGAAAGGTATTTACTACAGCTGTCTGAATAGTAAATAACTGAGCTAGTTATGGACAGAAGGTGCATGTTTGATTAAAGCACAGAATTCCTCCTGCCAGAGGATCAATGCCAATTCAGTATTTCATGAGGCACTATCAAATTATTGGTTAATCCAAGATGAAAGAGAGATGAATGATTAATATTTTGTGCAAAGCTAAAACAAATACAGGCAGAATCTCAGCTAGAAATACTCCTCAAAGATATTTATGAAGTGATTTGAAATACTGTCAACATACAAATGCATGTATTGCTTGTTTTCCTCATCCTTTCTTTATTTGTAAATTGGCAGAGGCCAACTGTTGAAATGTGTACTTTATGAGATAAATTTAGTCTCATTTGCATCAATGAAAGCAAAYCCTTCAACACAGAAAGCAGTTTGATTACCTGTCTTACACATACTTTCCTTGAGCATGGAAGTAACATGGAAAACCTGTGATTGGATTTGAAGCTATATACCCCCCATACAGATGGACAGTAAAATTGTGTATGTGTATAAATTGTATATATGATGATAGCTGAGCTATATACAGACCTACCTAGAATCACTTAGATTATATGCAAATGAACAGATAGTGCAGTTATTTTTCCTAAAATCGAAATTTAATCTGCTGTGGTGTCCAAGGAAGTGATGAAGATCTGACAACACAAACACTTCAGCATGCAAAAAAGATTTTTTTTTTTTAATCTAAACAATCTAACAGGGAGAAGCATCCTAAAACAGGAACTTGTAACTTGCTAAATATACCTTGTCGGGGGAAGTACTGGGTTTGCTCTAGGAAGTGCTGTTGGAATCATTATTTAATTTGGTAAATTACCTTTGTCAGCATTGCTATAACTCGTATGGTGGTGTCACCATGTGTATCTGCATCATCAAAATCATTATTTGTGCTACTTGAAACCTGAGTGTAGCTGGTTGCCCTGCAGGTTCTTGTTATCTAAGGAAATGAAGTAATGCATCTATGCTCAGTTTCATATGGTGTATATAAAAAATAGAGTAGAGGCCTTAAGTCACACATGCAAAAGACTAGACAGGCAGCTTCCAGCTAGTTCTGGCTTGGTATCAGCTGGCCCTGTATGGATGACTAACCTGCTGGGAAATAGGCAAAGCTCTATTTTATGACTGCCTTTATTATTCAACCTGGTACACTCAGGTGCTCCTGCAAGACAATGCTATTTCAGAACAATGCAATGTGTTAGCACCAGTTCTCGCTTTATCTCATGAGTAATCTGAAGGTGTTAGTAAAATGGACTTCCTCGGCTGGATGTAGTTGAAGCCATAGCCAAACACCTCCAAAACGCTGGGGAAAAAAAGTCCTCTTTAAGGCATTCCTGCTCAAATGCACACAGAAGGGCATTTCTAGTACAGGGGAGGCATCAGCCTCTGAGGTAGATATAAGGGCTCCCGTCTTTCTCCCCTATTCCAGGATATTGGAATATCCAAGTTACTTGGCTTTCACCAGTTCTCTGAGGAATGAATGCTCTGGGAAAGCCCTTTTCCCTGTTTGAGCTGTTATCAGCAACCTCAAGAGAAGTATTTGCAAGGGCAATTTTGTCAGTTTACCAAAAGGTGATATTCTTGTCATGCCCTATTTTTAATCTGAGAGAGTACTTTTCCATTCCTCACAGTCAAAATCATATTCTGTACCATGTGACTATTGTACTGGAATATTATCGTAGTGGTATCTGAGGCATGTGGCTTAGAGAGTATAAGAAAAAAAAGTCTTTTTCACTTTTATTATGACAGTAGCTCCATGCTCTGCAACCTTTTTAATGAACAATACCAGACCTAAAAGTTCTGCACAAATTGTTATAGCTTTGTGAAGCAAATGATGGAATTACTCTTAAACASTTAAAAACAAATGTTTAGCTTCCCTCCAATTTAAATACAGTTTTTAAGTGCTGTACGGTAAAGCTGCCTGACGATGACTCACTCCAATTGCAGGAAGACCATGAGTCAACATCTCCGCCCATTAGAAAGGAGAAAAAGCAATTGCAAACAGCTCCTGAAAAGAATTGTCACAAAATGGCTCCATGTCAGATTGCCCTGAAAGTTGAAAGGCAGGCCTGAGAGAGGAAATAAATAAAATGAGTAAGTAAAATAAAGGTGGAAAACTGTGATGATGAAACTGGCACAGAAGACCCACTGTTGAGAAAGCAAATTAAAAGGAGTTTACCTCAAAGAATGTCTTACAAAGTACTTCTAACCTGCTGTTTCCTGTCCTTACAGGCCTGTAGTAAATGCCTGTAATATTATTTTCCTTATTCAGATAATGCCAGCAATTAATCTAGAAGCTTGGAATCTGCATAACTTATCCTTCTAGGTTATTTCATGACTTCAAAAGGCTCAGTTGGGAACACCAGGACACACACATATTATTAGCTTTTCAGTGTAAATGGATTGTAATTAGTCAATGTTCATTAATAGTCAGGAGAAACAGTTCCAGAAAAAGACTTTAAGCAACGGTTTTTGCCCAGCCTTGGAAACTGCTAAAATAAGAATGCTAACTTCATACTGAAATGGAGAAGGTCATGAGAGCAGGAGTAATCTGAATTTTCACACAGAATAATTAAACCCCTGTGCAACCTGAGTGCTTGCTAACAATATCACTATTAACTGGCAGACCCTTTTGGTTATCCAGCTGACTGAAATCACCTGAAATACTTCTGCTAAACAACAGTGTGACAGTGGGAAGGGGAGAAGAAAAGTAATACAAGCAGGAGATGGCAGTTGTCCTGGTGCGGTAGGGGCTTCTGTTTTGGCCCATCTCCCTAAAAGGAAAGAGCAAAGCATGTGGCAGCCTGCTTTCTTTACCACAAGCTCAATTAAAAACTGGGAGGGAGGAGAAAAAAAAAGAAAAAAAGAGAAAGTCTATTTCCAGATTGTAATAGCCCTTTTGTGGAGCCAGTCATGCATGAGATGCTGCAACCTCAGCGTTTGCAAGTGCCCCCTCTAACACTGTCCTGCAATCTTTAATTCTCCTGTCTCATTTTATTGATTGCGAAATGTAGGAGAGGTTGCATTTCACACAGGTTTGTCAGCAGGAGATCMGTCCTGCTTCTTCTTTCTATTCTACAGCTGTCAGTGTCGTGCAGGAGGTCTGTATCAGCAGCAAGCAAGACCGATGTTGGGCAGATAAACCAAGCCATTAGATGCAAGCACTTTGCTTCCTGCTCTGGGACTGGTATTTCTGCCCAGGGCAGGCTATGCCAGCCAAAATGTGCACGATACGTGCGCCCGACGCCGTACTGGATGTGCTCAGGGAGGCGCGTGTGGCCAGCACTCCCCAAACTCCATAAAGCCAAAAACCCATGATAACTTTTTTCAGCTCTTTTATTTTCATTGGGAACTGACATGTCTGAATGTGTTCACTTTTAACTTGCATAAGAAGTGTCAAAGTGTCAGGGTAGTAAATTAAAGCTTAGTTTTTGTTTCTTTACTGTTTTAATCCTATGACCCCCAAAAGAGTCATGGCAATTTTCCACAATGACAGCCCTGTTGGTGGAAGCTGGAAGCTACTATGACATGGTCATAAGCTCTATTCTCTGATGAAATCTGCCCCTGCTTTCTTCCAGGGCATGATTTTGCAATGACTTCTCCTTTTTTTTTTTTTTTTTTTTTTTTGTGTGTGTGTGTGCGTGTGTGTGTGTGTTTCTGTGTATTTTGGACAGTGTCCTGTAGCAGTTGCTATGGCTGTGGAAATACTTGTTGCTAGGTGGGGCATTCTGCAGAGCGCTATAAAACCACCCCAAGACCTCCACTCTCTTCTTCCCGGCTGTACCGTCCTGCAAAGTAACATTTGCGAGGCAAAAGGTAAGTTTTTGTAGTACTTAGCTGCTCTCTGTAAGGCTGACAAACTTTTAAGAGTTATGTGCTATGTTTCTCAAGTAATCTGGTGCAGTTTCCTGCAAGCTGGATTTGTTGGCAACAGAAAAACTGGTTGTRGGCAGAAGAAATTCTCTCAGTTAAAAATACTTAATTTATGTGGAAAGGCTTGGGTAGACACTGCATTTATTTAATGCACATAAGGAACTGGAAAAGTAACTTAATAGAAGTATTCTTACTTGAGTTGACTTTTCCTGTGCCATTTTTTTGTTGTTGTTGTTTCTTTTTCTCTTTGTARTAGACTGCTGGAAAAGTCTCTTTGCAGCAAGACTGTAGTCACTGCAAAACAAGTGTGCTTTATATGTGTAATTAAAAAAAATGCTTCGACTTCACAACCGTTCCCTGCTTTGGGACAGTAGATTAGTATTTGCTTATGAGAATGAAGAAAATGAGGAACAAGAACCTTTAGAGAACATAACAGCAAAAGTCTGCTTATAGCTAAGAACTTTTCCAAAGCCTCAGAAGTAATGGCTGAGTAATCTGAGGTTTGGTTTGCTAACACTTTCCACTGAATTTTCCAAGGGTGAGACTATTTTCCTCTCTGATGCTTCATTTTTACTTACAGAGGCTTCCTGTWWAAAAAAAAAAAAAAAAAAAAAAAGGTACTTTTTTCCCAAAGCTTTTCTGATATGTTTATATGCTCTTAATTTACATTAAGATTCTGATAACCAGTATAGGACCATAATTAGCAATGATGTTTCTACTATTTGATTAAATAGTGATAGACAAATGGTGCAGGTTAACTTGATTTGATTTAAGCTGCTAGAACTGAAGAGGTAGTGGAAAAGTTTGAGTCTTTAAATATTTTTAATACTTAGTTTTAATTTTTGAAAACCTAGAATTTCAGAGCTTTTTTTACAGAGAGTGCCATCCATGCAGTAATTGTTGTACAGGGACAACTAAGACTTTCAGTCCATTCTGTCTTCAATTTGTCCTTCTGATTGCAATACCAGTCATTCCAATTTGGAATGATAAAATGCATGATATTTTTGAAACTGAAAATCTAACTTCCAGCCTTTAAACTGAGGTGCCTAAAGATTTCAATTTAAGTAGCAAGATACACATTCTGGAAATATTTTATTAGATCAAAGAACTTTGAAATAGCTATGTGATGTGAAATAACCAGAAAGAAACCCTCTTTGATATTATTTTCTGTTTGCATCACTCGGTAGGTTTTTTCTCATCCTTGTTTATAGATTTGAGGAGCACAAGTGATAGGAAGCCAGCAGTTCTTTATCTCCTTTTCTGAATGATTTTATTTTTTTCTCTGAGTTTATCTATTTTAAATATAGGCTTTGCTTGCATGAACAGTTTGCATTCCAGAGTAGCAAGGGTCAAAGCATTGGGAAAGGCCTCCACTCTGCTAGGGGGGTGGCTGTTTCTCCCCAGATTCCTGCAGTCTTTCTGAATTAGTCATAGTTTCTTACAAAGGAGGCAAAGAGCAATTTTACACGTAGACTGGTTTCTTAACTTTGCAAGGCAGCATAAGCAAAGGCTTTAACTCTTTACAGGAGCATTTGTCTACTTTAGGTTTATTTTAAACTATACCTTTACTTGTGTGCCAGGTGAAAGTGGAGGAACCTRCTGGAAAATGGCCAGAGTGTCTATATTTGCAAGAGCAGAAGAAATAAGTTCTTTAAGACACAGAATTCTTTCACTGCATCTCTAATGTAAATTTGAATAGGCACGAGGGCTTAGAGGCTTAGCGACCCCCCTGGAGCGCAGGGTAGCAGCCTTCTGCTCCAGTCATCCCCAAGAGCAGCCAAATCCCAGGAGCCAGTGAGGTTCTGACCCTGCCAACTTCCCTCCCCACGGGCACTACTTAGTCAACCCAAGTGCAATTAGGGTGCTCGTTCTTGGCACATCTGCTGCAATGGAACTGCATCTTCCTTACTGATCCGGAGCCGTGTGCATCCCTCCTTGTGACTAGGCATGTCAATTATACATGCCTGAAATTGGTACTGGTCCTTCAGATTTACCTCTCCTTTAGTAAGGTGCAGTCCCAAGACCACAGCAATCTTCCATTTTTTCCTGCAATGAAACAGAGGTGAACTTTGTGCCCATAGAATGAGGGAAGGGCAGAGAAGCGGGAATTTCTGGGGAGAGGGAGGAAACTGGGATCTCCCTTACGGAGGAGTGGGAACGGTGGAGCTGGGATGGAGCTGGACGAGGAGACAGAGGCCTTTGTCCAAGACTTCTGTGAGATTAATACACACGTATTAACACTGCAAAGAGATTGGTCTCCTTATGCTAAATATGTGAGGTGTTCCTTAAAGACATCTCAGATTAACAGGCAGCATTATCTTTATTATTTATATGTGAGCTATGAAACCAGGCCTAAGAGCTGACTATGGAAAAGTGTATTTTGGTGAAAAATCCATTTTGATGGATTTTTTTGCTTTACAAAACAACCTGTTGACTACCATTTTGTGGTGAGTTGCAAGTCACTGCCCTGTTGCTCTTTTCCTATTGTGTGTAAAGTCTTATGGAAAAGCTGGCCTCATTAAGGAAAACAAAAATTCTCACCTGTATAGATACTATGCATTCTTCTGTAGAAACTGCAGAATATACATGAGAAATGATATAGTTGAGAAACTGCCTGCTTCTTCTTGTCTGAAGAAGTGTCTATTCATAGAAGTCTGATAAGAGTATATCTAACAGGAGAGTACCTTTTATCTTAACAAATTACGCAGAACTCAGTAAATAATGATGTGTGAATACTTTTTTATCACTGGCTGTGAACATAACCAGATATTCAGTAAGGTGTCTGAACCTTTGAAAACAATCAAATTAGTTTGATGCTTAATTTTCAATCTAAAACTTGTGAAAGTAGCAACGAGTGTACATGTTTGCAGTCAGTTACGTAACATTACATCATTGGTAAATATAAGCAAAAGTTGCCACTTTTCAATAGCACAAACTGAGCRATGCTTGGGAAGCTAATTCTGTATTTCACAATTTAGGATAAAGCACTTTGCAAGGGGTAAGCGAAGCCTGAAGAAAAAATGTTTTGTAATTTGATACATTTCTTCCCAGAAAAACCATCAAMATGGCTATGGTATCAGAATTTCTGAAGCAGGCATGGTTCATGGACAACCAGGAACAGGAATGTATTGTAAGTATTACAATCTTTTCAGATCATTGTGCTTATTTTAAAGTACTTTTAGAGGTGATTTAAATGCATAGGCCAACAAACTCCTTTCATAGACTCAAAGGGAAGGAAAGATGATGGCAAAATTCTGTAATTAGAATCAGAACAAGAATTTATTACATGATGAAGTCTAAAAAGTCTCTGATAACACTTTGGTGTCAGATGAAAAAGTATTTTTATATACATATCCCGGTGCCTAGTTACTAGTTTCTAGGCAGAGCTAGTTACTGCAGTGGAAATGCTGGTCTCAATGTCTAGTCATCGATGGATTCAATTAAAGTAATAATCTGATGCACAGGAGTGTGAATGTGTAATTCCTGTTCAGATGATGTCCGCAGGGAAGATGGAGATGCATAGGCTGAGGTACGGGAAGCTGTGATTTGGAGCCCAGGAATGTAAAGGAGGAACTAATGCCACAGTTCTAAATACTAGATGGCATGCACAGAGTCACTGTGTGCGATAAAACGTCTCAAATCATCAGTACTGCTATCGATTGGAAGGGATATGAAGAGCAGGCTGATGGTAAAGGGAAATTATGAGTTAGAGCACTAGGAGGATCCAGAACATCTTTATGATAAGGAAGCTGATTATGATACAGAAATGTCTGTCAGCAAAAGGAAAGGGGCACAGTGTGAATTACAGCAGACTCTGAAGCAACTTTCATCTTGAAAAAAATGAGTAAAGGACAGAATTTCAGTGAATATTCTTTCTTTGTGGAGTTTTTAAATTTTGTTTGTTAGTATTTTATATGATTCCTTGACACTACAACCCCTCTCCTTTGCAATCCCAGGGTCCTGAGTCATGATATAACTAGATGATATATTTAATAGAAGTTACAGGCAGTTTTTTATTTATCTACTAAATGAATTTGGCACGGAAACTAGCATGCAAGTACTTGTCTGGATGATCTGAGATTGACGCTCTGAATGAGACCCATTCCTCTGTTCGCTTCACTGAGTCACAGGGATTTTTTTTTTTTTTTTTTTTTTTTTTTAAGTATGCAAGGAACAACTACGCATGATTTCAGTCTTGTTCAATATAACCCTTAGTGATAAAATTGTGGAGGTAGAGGACTTTTTAACTATTGGATATTACAAGCATACAAACAAAAATACAGAATGCTGTATGAGAGACATGTACTGCTAAGATTTTATCTTTTGTTTTGCAAAAAATTAACTTCAGTCATAAAAGACTAAAAAAAGTAATTCTAATTATGGGTTGTTTAGTATGAGACAGAAAGTATAGGTGATACTAGAAAGGTTTAGCTAAACACTGTTGCATTCTAAAAGGTCTTACCATATTTCACAATAAGTTAGATTTTCGGAGAACTGTTTTAGCCACTGTCAATGGTAATGAGGAGAACTTTGGTTAGAGAGTTTTACTGGCTTGTAGACCCTAATGGTCTGTCATGTTGACGTAGTTGAAGGTACATAATCTGTCATGGTGTGGTGTCAAATACAGTGACATTCATTGTTCCTCAGTTACCCCCTGGTTTCTGTAGACATTGCCTAGGCAGTGTCCAGCACCTGGACTGCATTCACCAAGGGCAGCTGCAGGTAGTATCTATTAAAGAAACTGTTGCTTATGTCTTATGCTTTAAAGAAGTTAGGTAACCAGTTCATCGCTTCTTCCAAGGATCAGGAATGAACTCTTCTCCGAGCCTGGGATCATGCTTAGAGGAGGTGTTTGTTGTCTTAGATCTGAGTCAGCTGAGAAGCCATTTAATGTGAAGCACAGTCAATTTGCATAAGATGAGTGGAGATATCAGTAGCACTTTACTGTTAGTGTCTGCAAGATTTAATCGTGTGTTCAGAGTCTTTTAAATTTAGATATAATTGCTTCAAGTGGCAGTTAGGAGGTAGTTTCCTGTGGAAGTTAACTTACTCTTATAAATAGGCCCCAGGGACACAGAACAATATATGAGCTACTTTCTTTTTACGAGATGTGAAAGGAGATAAAACCAGTCTATATATCATTTGGGGTCTGTTAAGCTATATATAGCCACTAAAGTCAGAATTCATTTCTTTATAGTGATATAACGGGCAGTTGTAGATGACGGTCTATTTAGGTACATAGAACTGCTTCTTTGCATAAATTTTCTCTGGAATGAACTTTTTTTTTCTCCCTGCAGAAAAGTGCAAAAGGTGGCCACCCCATCCAGTCATACCCTAACTTCGATCCATCAGCTGATGCAGCTGCTCTTGATAAGGCTATTACTGTAAAGGGTAAGAAAAAATAAGTATTTAACCCACTGCATTATAATGATTCCATGGGAAAATTTGAGAATAACCCTAAATAAAATATCAGAGGCAATGGCAAGCAGGAGAGGTGTGACCACTTTTAAAAGCCTAGCAAGACATCTTTTTTTTTTTTTTTTTCCTAGCTGGGAAACAATCTAATCCCTTTGATAATGTGACATCATATTACATTTACAGAATTTAATTCTTTATTAAGTTTCTTGAATTTGTTGAAGGATGTGGAGTAATTAATGATTAGTAATTTAATTTGTGGATAATCCAAAATAATATTATGACACATCAAGCTGATGTTTTTTGATTTGATTTCTGAAAAATCTGCAAGAAATAGTGGGTATGCTGATACTGTTGTGTATGTTTCTGTTAYGCTTCTCAAATTCACATTGGACACTGACTGTAATTTGAAACCTTTTTCAGTTTGATTCGATGAGGTTAAATGAATATGCCATCTAATACTGTTTCAGTTATGTTGTAGTGTAGCTTTGGCTCTGTAAATACTTCAAGGCTTTTATATAAAATTGTGCTAAAAAGAGGTGTCTGTTGTAGGTGAATCTGTCAGCTTTCTCTCTATGTTACTAACTCTGTAGATGATTACAGTTTTTCCTTTAGCTAAACTTCAATGTGTCAGACAATCAAAATGTAACACATTCCAGAGAATAAAATACAGAAATGATGATTTTGTTAACATTTTCAATATATTAGGCATTATATTTTTGATTACTTACAGGTGTGGATGAAGCCACCATCATTGATATCTTAACCAAAAGAAAAAATTCTGAGCGCCAGATGATCAAAAGTGCCTATCAGCAGTTGAAGGGAAAGGTATAGTATTTCCAAACTCACCCCAAATGTGCACCTGAAATATCAACTTTTCCCAGGGGTCTGGTGGTGCATACAAGCTTAGGTTTCTAGAACAAAGGGCTACCAAGATTAATTTCTGTAGTTTATGAAAATTGTCACAGGGAGATAGCACCCTGAACTTCATTGCCAGTTATAAGTCTTTGGTTACAGTGGTTATTAGATTTTTTTTTGAAAGAAAAAGTAACCTCATATTCTAAGCCTCCAGGTTTTTGCATGCCCTAAAGGTTTAAGTTATTAGATCATTGGGCGTATAGAAATCTTACTGCCATTTGGCAGACAGTCTACTGGGAGAAAGGGAGGGAGAAAGAAAGGGTCTTTGCATCATCTCTCTGTGGACACTTAACTGTTGATAGAATATGGAATTAGACAGGAAAGATACAGGATCTTTGAGTTTCGCATTCACAGATGCACAGGGAGCAGTTCGCTTATTTGTTCTAGTGACAAAACTACTAATTTCTGGACCTGAGGAGCTTGGAAGTTACTGAATATTTCTAAAGAAGAGTGTAATTGCTCTGCACAATTGTTTTATGTCCCTGTAACATTTTTTTCCAGTTGAACTTGTAAGTCTAAATTGAAATTATAATTGCACAGTTGGCATAGCAGAGTTACTGAGCCGTTACTCCTAGGACTCCCTGGAGTTCTTTGCTTTGTAACTCTAAGTGACTTCTAAGGGCCAACTTAGAAAACAAGTCTAATATCTCATTTTACCCTAGATTTCCTGTGTTTCTGTACAGAAAACCTCACTTGTGGTTTCACATCTCTCTTCTCCCACAGAGGAAGCTCCAGCCTTGCAATTATATTTTATCAAGCCCTAAATTAAAATAAAACTTCAAAGACAGAGAAAGTCTAATGCTGTCAGATTATTAGATACCCTGGTGTCTGGTGCACCATCAAAAGAACAAAACTATCTCTGGACCTGTGCTTGCTTCAGAGGTAACCTCATTGCATTAGGTACCCTGACAAAGCAGGGTTTTATAGTAACCTTCTCACTCTTCCAGCTGCTGTCTACAGGCACATACGGTTATGAAGAGATCTGCAACTTGATCTAACAAAAAGTAGTTTGAGGCATTCAGTGATAGTGAGAACAATAAAACTTTTCTTTTTCCTTTTTTTTTTAACTTAGATTTAGGTTAGATACATTCCCAATCTCTTGTTGAGTTCTTGTAGTTACGCATAGGATGAGATTATGCCCCAATTTTGCTATCCTTTAAAYAATAAAAAGATTAACTGAAATTCTCCAAATAATATGCATTTAAGCAACTCAATCATCATCATAACAGCAGTGTAGTAATATCTTAAAAAATGAGAAGCTTTTTTTGACTTTTCTTCTCATACTGTAAATACGTGAATGAAAACATGGTGCGTAGGTACTGAACAAAACCTAACACTTCAGTGAACAGAACATGACAAATTACAATTCTCTCTTTGGCCTTTGCAATCCTGTCTAGAAGGCAAAGGAATAATATTGAAGATTCTTCAGATGTTAAACACATTTTTCTATCATAGCTGGATGACAGCGTTTAACCATTTGATAGCTTAATATGCTTTTCATTCTTCCTTTCACAGAGTCTGGAAGATGCCTTGAAAAAAGTTCTGAAAAGTCACCTGGAAGATGTTGTTGTGGCTTTACTGAAAACTCCAGCTCAGTTTGATGCTGAAGAATTAAGGGCCTCTATGAAGGTTGGAAAAAAAAAAAAACACAAAAGCAAACAAACAACCCCCAACCACACCACCTTTTTAAGAAAAAACTTCCCTAAAGAAAAGTAAATAATTTTCAGGGGCTATAAATGATAGAGGACTTACATTCTGAAGGTTGTGTAATGTCTTCAGTTTCCTCCTATTTTGTAAAATAAATCACTACTGCATGTTTTAAGAATTAGACATGGCAGACTCTGCTGAATTTCAGAGTTGAAGGAAATAGACCGAAAATACTATTCTCTTATATGAACAAATTCTTTCTGCCTTCTGAAAACTGTTTGCTACTGTGGTGGTAAAAAGTGATGGCGTTATGGGTTCCCATAAAACAAGCAAAAATTAAGAGAATGGGGAGGTGGGYTTTGTAGTATTTTTGAACTATAAATTCTTATCTTCTGTGTAGATTGCTCAGTCATTTTATCACTTCTTTGGCTGAAAGTGTGTTCAATGTGATAAATTCCAGGGCCACGGAAATAGAAGCAATATATGAAAACAGGAATGTTTTTCAYTTTTCTTTCTTTCTTCATGTGGGATCATCAGATTCTTCTTCATCATTTTCTTGTACTTTCTGTATTAAATAATCTTGTTAAAAATTCATCCAGGGGCTTGGAACTGATGAAGATACTTTAATTGAGATTATGGCCTCAAGAAACAACAAGGAGATCAGAGAAGCCAGCAGATACTACAAAGAAGGTAATTTAGAGAAGGAAAAAATATTAATGTTATGCAGCACTGGCAAAAAATGTACAGACTCTGTTCTGAAAGTCATATTCTTTTTAAAACAACACTTTTTTTTTAAACAGCCATAAGCAATACATATCTRTAAACTTAATATGTGGCATTAAAAAAAATCTAGTATGTGTTTCACAAGTCTTCTCACAGTGTTGTAGCAGACATATGCTCATAGCTTCACCTCTCAATAGCAGAAACTAAGACATTTTAGGACGTAAGACTAGGAGGAAGGTCAGGTACAGGAGAGGCCATACTGACTTTTTGTGATCCAAAGAGATCACGCTGCACATAATCTCCCTCTGAAGTGTCAGTGTTTCATGGAGCAGGATGTAGGTTTGTTCTAGAAAGCAAAATCCAGTTTCTTTTCTTCTCCCTAACCTAGCCCTGGCTGATGTCCTGTGGACTCATAGACCTTGAAAAAGAATTCTAGTGTATTACTATACAGATGACATTAGTTGCAGGAACTAGAGGGTGAAATTCTTTAAAGTAACTAAAATATAAATCTGAAATCTGTCACTTTTCTAGCGTTTAATACAATCACTTWATGTTCCCTAATTAAATCTCATTCTTTAAAAACTACATGAGAGAAACAAGGAAAACTGCAGCTCCAACAAACATTTTCAATTAAAAAAAGTAAGGAAAGAAATGAGAAATGATAGGAATAATGTCTTCAAAACACACTATAGATCCATTTTCATTTGATTTCAGTGCTGAAGAGAGATCTGACACAAGATATTATTTCTGACACATCTGGAGACTTTCAGAAGGCTTTGGTTTCTCTAGCCAAGGTATGCTGTGTTTACATTTACACTAACATTACCAATAGTAACRATTAATATTGTCATTGTCACTACATGAAGGAAAGATGTATAAGAATTTATTAAGTAATGTTTTTTCCTTGCATTATTTTTTACTTACAGTGCTATGCAATATAAAATTGGTGTTAAAATGTGATCTTTGTCAAATTTACTTTTAAGCCTTTTTTTTCTTAACTGCAAACATTTGAAAAATCAATAGAAATAATATATCAAGTGATTAGAAGAGAAGTAGAAATAAACWGATGCTTAGAAGTAAAGAAATAAACCTTTGGTTAGCTATTAAGATATATTTCCAGTATATAAGTATAGTGGGATAGTGGGAGCTTACAAGTGAACAAAATGCTCTGTGAGTTGGTGAGGAAAAGCTGCAGTTTGGTTTAACCATGAGAGCTGCTATAAAAAGATTCTTTGGAAATATAGTGAATTTTGGATTTTGTGATTGTTGAGCTTCACCTGTGTGAAGCTTGTATGCTTGTAATGTATTGTTTTGATAAGCACATTTTTATATTACTGATTTGCAGCTTTGCTTTTCAATGATATCAAAGCTCACTATAAAGTTTATCAGGGAGTGAGTGAATAACAATAATTCCTAATGTGCTCTTTCAGAAAATAGGTACTGATGGCCTTAATGTGAGCTCTAATTGATGAAAATGCTTCAGCTTTGTTCTAAGAATTGACCGAAACTGTGGCTGCTAAGGTTATGCAATTTTAAAGCATATACCAGAATAGCAGGCTAGAACTTAAGCATACTGGATTTTGGTTAACTGAACGATCATGAAAAATGGTGAATTGTCATTTGTTTATTTGCTTAGGGTGATCGAAGTGAAGATCCTTATGTGAATGATGAGCTTGCTGACAACGATGCCAGGGTAAGATCAATTTGGTGCCCTGCAGTTTCTGCATTTCACCTACTAGCAATTACAAGCTGYTCCTGGCTGTGAATGTTTTTTTTCACATACTTTTATCTGTTGCTGTGCAGATTCTAACAAAGAATTTTACATTATATAATTTTTTTTTTTTTCTGAGGGATAATGTTTTACCAGATTTGCATAAGCGTCACTAAAGGAAATCTTTATGTCTAKTTCCAGAAAGGTTTCTGCAAGATATTTTCTACCATGTAAAAACTGCAGAYCGTAGGAAGTACAGGTTAGGTACGAAGTTTCGTGATGAAAAAAGTATAGTTCTCCAACTGAGGGATGAAGTTGTATTCATGGGTGTAAAGAACCAGCTACCATAGCTTGACTAGTCTGAACTCTACAGTGTAGCAGATGTAACTGTTGTTTTTCAGTGGTGTACTTTTCATAATTATTGGCTGCACATCACAGGAATTTTTAAATGATTCTAAAACAACTGTTTCTTATTTCTTCTTCTATTAGTGTAGCTTTTTGTTGAAATCTTGGTAAAGCTTAGCAGTCTGTTCTAAATTTTTACTTTAAAACCTTGCATTGCTATTGCAGCTCAAATCTGTGTTGACTTTTTTTTAATCCTACTACAAAAAAAATGCTTACTGAGCAATATTGTTCTTCTTTTTGCTACATAAGTTTAGATTTTGTCTTCAGACCTAGGACTGAGAAACAATAAATCAGTGCACTGAAGTTCAGTAAAGTTTCCCTTGTCCAAAGGGCTTTATTGCTGATACTGGGAAAAAGTATCCTGGACTGCTTGGCATGTAGGCTTTTCTTTCACGTTTGTCCATTTGATTTTGTTTGTTAATTTGTCTTGTCTGCAGAAAGTTTGCTTTGTCTGCAGAAAGCCTGCCAACCCTACACACCCACACAGAGCATGGTGTATCATGATGCATGAAAACTGTCTTCATTTAAAGAAGTAATATACCCCAAAGAACTAGATGCTGATTCTAAATAAGTCTGAAAATAGCATTTGTACGTGTATCATGCTGTCTAGATACTGTTATGCCATAAGTGATATATGAAGTTTTACTTGATAGGGCTAGAGTTAGTCTGAGGCAGTGTAGAATTTTGTATCATTTTGTAGTTTTTATGGAGGACTATAATTCACTGCAGACAGACAATTGCCTATCTTTGGATGGTAGCTACAGAACTTCAATATTTCTGTTTAGTTTTCACAGTATTAATAACTCACTAACTTCTTTTCTTTATAACAGGCCTTATATGAAGCTGGAGAGAAAAGAAAGGGAACTGACATTAATGTGTTTGTTACTCTTCTTACAACAAGAAGCTACCCCCATCTTCGAAGGGGTAGGTTTGATGAAACTTTGTGCCTAACAGGAGTTGTATTGCATATGTGGCCTCTTCAAACATTTCATTTACTGAGAAATAATGTAGATTCCCAGAATGCATCTGCTGCCAAGCTCTCAAGTACTTGGAAATGTGCTTGCTGGTCTAAGGATGTAATTGGCAGCTTAACATGTCCTCTCCATAGCAGTGATGAGCAATATCACTTAAGTTTTTATTACACCTATTGCTGCAGAACATCCCAAATCTAGTATCAAAAAGCCAAGGGAGCAGGGTTCTTCAGGCTGGAGTCATATATGTTTCCCAACCAATTTGTCTTGATTGGGGGTGGGATACTCACCAACATAGGCTGCTGTGGAGACACTGAACTGCCCTTCCCTTACCAACAGGAGTATGAATCTTGTTGAATTTCCACTGTCTTAGCCTGCCCCCAAGCATACCATAAATCCTCTCTTAATGTTGTACTTGCTGAGGAAAATGAGAAATATGGTCTACAGCCAATCCTCTGTGTGTATAACTGCAGAAGCAATGGCAGAAAAAGGAAGAGGCAAATACTGTATATTCATCAATATTCACTGAATTTTCTTCCTGTATTTAGTCTTTCAGAAGTACACTAAATACAGCCAGCATGACATGAACAAGGTACTGGATTTGGAGCTGAAGGGTGATATTGAGAACTGTCTTACTGCCCTTGGTAAGTGGTTTCTGCAGATAGTAACCCCAAATATATATTGACTTTCAGAAAAGACTTTTTATTTCTTCATGCTCTGTCTAATAGGAAACCATCCTGTTTTTATTCAATTCTCTTGAGAAGTTTATTAGATAAAGTCTAATCAGGGAAAATCTGAACAGTGATTTAAATGCGTTAGCTAAAGTCATGTTGAGGGGATGAACGAAGAGAATTATTTCTTCTGATATGTAGAAGGATCTTCAAAGGAGAATAGGCATGTCATAGACAGAAGAGGATTGCTGCTGAAAGTAACTGTGAAATAGACCTGCCAGYACAGGAACTGTTAAAAATTCTATGGTTTTTGGACATATCCTCAAGAAATGAAACTGTAATAAGTCCTCCTCTAAATTTTTGTTTTTCAAAACRTTTATGAAACATGATGAATAAAATTGTGACAATTTCTCTTCTGGAGTTTTATTCAAGAAMGTATTCTTGTTCATGGTAAACCTGTATATTAAGATCTTCAGCATTACTGTTGTCCATGAACAATATAAATAATAACAAAGTAGACACGTGGAATTATTGGGGGAAAGACCAGGGTAGAGGACCCAGTGACAGATTGTTGTACCTATTAATGCATTTGGGAGTGCCTGAACACTGCTGACATGTGAAAGCATAGTTATGGATAATGCAGTCCAAATAAAACTTCAGTAGGCATACTTTGGATACAAAAATGAGTCTATAACATCCCTTTGAATATCATAGATAGATGGGAAGTAGTTAATATAATTTGTTTTACCAAACATTAGATCATAACTCCCAGCACTGCTTTAGAGTCAACAAATTCTTTGTTTCTGCAAAGTCTTGCAGCATCTTTCTTAACTCTGGCTGTGGAATACAGTCCTGTCTTTACTGTAAAGAGAATATTCTTCCTTGACTGAATTGCTTTCAGAATCAACAGAATGGTCAAAGTAACTGTCACTTCACTCGTATTTTGAAAATAGGTAAAAAAAGTAAATAAATAGAAGGTACTGGTAGGTGTACAAAGACTGCTTTCAAAGTGCCAGCTCTCCAGACTTTTGTCTTTTCTTACTTATTACATGTAACATGTAATTACATTACATGTAAAGGTCAGATGTAACCTTATCTCACTGTTTCGTTTCAGTGAAATGTGCCACAAGCAAGCCTGCTTTCTTTGCTGAAAAACTCCACTTGGCGATGAAGGTAACTTAGACCAAGAGCTTCCGTTTGTCGGCCAGGGGTGCTTTGTAAATTAAACAACCCGGGCAAAAACACTGTCAAGCTCTTCTTGTGACAAAAAATATATATACAGTATATTTATCCTACTTTTTTACTTCCTTTCTTTGAGACCGGTTTGAGTGTCTGAGATGCGATTTTAACTTTTTGTTTTCTTTATGAATCCACAAAATTACTAATGATAAATTAATGAGAAAGCAATTCCAGGACTGGGGATGGAGGGACTGCAAATGAGCCTAGTCTTTGACCAGAGGTTTGAGGTCCCTGGGRCAAATTTGGAAAATGAGTTGAGTGATGCAGTCTGAACTCATAAAGCTAGAACATTTCACCATGATAGCAAATATGAATTTATGTAGCGTCTTTGACTTGGTTAGGAGCAAGGCATGAAAAGCAAGATATCATTAAGAAAAAGGAGTTCCTTGTAGTCTTAAAAAAAAAAAACAAAAGCAAAAAACAGTGAAGTGCAGGTTGTCTTTGATGTCAGACAAGTGGAGAGAAGGACTTGAGTCATTCCTGGAAAAATGTAGTAGAAGGAAATTATAGGTGCACACCTGGTAGAGTAATTCATTGATTAGTGATTTTGTTGATGTGGAGCAGAAAGGGACATGGAAAGGAGCAGAGAAAGTAAGGGAATCGGGTCTGCACTCTACTTCCACAGATCACAGTGATGGATTAAAACACACACAACCTTGATTTAAGTTGACATTTCCGTCACATAAGTTGTCTCATTTTTTGCTTTTAACAGGGTTCTGGGACACGGCACAAAACACTCATCAGAATCATGGTTTCACGCTCTGAGGTGGACATGCATGAGATCAAAGGCTACTACAAGAAACTGTATGGCATTTCTCTCTGCCAAGCCATTATGGTAGGTTTTCTCTTAGGTAAACTAACAACAACAACAACTAGATGATTCAGGAGGGCCAGTAAGGTGTTTGTTGTCTCTTCTGATCTTCAGTTATGAGTTCATTCCAAATAGCTCATTGTAGCTATAATGTTCTCAGTGATCCATATGCTGGTAAAGCATTATATTTTGGGGAGATTGTTTTTCTCACAAAACCTACAGCAATTAGCTGTCCATGATATATATATCAAGATGTCATCTCATAGTAGAGGCCAAGTGTTTTTTGGAGACCGCTCATTGCCCTAATGCCTATGTTTGATAGGCATATGGTACATTGGCAGGAGAGGGGGAGATTGCATATCTCTGTGGAAGATATTTGGTGTCCTTGGCTTTCTGAAGCACTCATGAAAATACCTTTTAAATTTAAAGTTATTTGTTCTGCTTTCCTAGTCATTTAAATGGGGAATAGATGAGTGGATGGGGAGGTGGATTAGGAATTGGCTCAGTGGCAGGGTGCAGAGAGTGGTTGTCAATGGTGCGGAGTCCAGTTGGAGACCTGTAGTTAGCAGTGTCCCCCAGGGGTCGGTCCTCGGTCCGGTCCTGTTCAACTTATTMATTAAYGACCTGGATGAAGGGCTGGAGTGCTCCCTCAGCAAGTTTGMTGATGATACCRAACTGGGAGGAGTAGCTGATAGCCCTGAGGGCTGTGCTGCCATCCAGAGGGACCTGGACAGACTGGATGACTGGGCAGTGAGAAACCTCATGAGGTTCAACAGGGGCAAGTGCAGGACCCTGCTCTTGGGGAGGAATAACCCCGGATACCAGGACAGATTAGGGGTTGACCTGCTGGAGAGCATCCCCGCAGAGAGGGACCTCTGCGTCATGGTGGACGACAAGTTGACCATGAGGCAGCAGTGTGCCCTGGTGGCCAAGAAGACCAACGGGATCCWGAGGTGCATTAAGAAGAGTGTCTCCAGCAGGTCGAAGGAGGGGATCGTCCCCCTATACACAGCCCTGGGGAGGCCACATSTGGAGACTGTGTCCAGTTCTGGGCTCCCMAGTACAAGAGGGATGTGGAGCTGCTGGAGAGAGTCCAGCACAGGGCTACMAGGATGATSAGAGGCCTGGAACATCTGRMYTGTGAGCAAGGGCTGAGAGAGCTGGGCCTGTTCAGCCTGGAGAAGAGGAGGCTGAGGGGGGACCTGATCAGCGTGTATAAATACCTCAAGGGAGGCAGTGAGAAGGAGGGGTTGGCCTCTTTTCAGTGGTGGMCAGTAATAGGACTAGAGGAAAYGACCACAAGCTGAGGCACCAAAAGTTCCACAGGAACTTRAGRAAACASTTYTTGASAGTGAGGGKGMCAGAGCCCTGGCACAGGCTGCCCAGAGAGGTTGTRGAKTCTCCTTCTTTGGAGATCTTTAAAACCCGCTTGGATGCAGCCCTGTGCCCCRTGCTCTGGGTGACCGTGTGTGTTCAGGGGGGTTGGACTMGATGACCTCTGAGGTCCCTTCCCACCTTAAGCAKTCTATGATTCTATGAAACGTTACACGAACAATAATACCACTGTATTTTCTGAGACAAATTAAACCACTGGTACTCAGTTAGAAGCCTAAATATGTAAAGCTTTGTGGAAACTAGTAGACTCTAAAGAAACTCTAAAGAAAAAGTCTTGAGTGGAGCAGAAATGTACTGCCCACATGCACTAAAACAAACTACTTGTTTTTGGTAGTGTTTGCTACTTTTCCAGTTAAGTAKGAAAGGCAATTTATATTCTTTCCTCATGACTGTAGGGAAACTGGCATTTGATGTATAATTACATTCATACTATCTTGGTCCAAAGTGATATTTGTTTCCAAATGGCTTGAAGCCCTACTTGGCTATGCTATGTAATTCTTGAGTCTCTGCAAAGTAGATTCAAATTTAAGCAAACATTCAGCTGAAGAAGTAGTTCTGTGATGAATCCAATATCATCTTAACCACTGTTTGAGATGATAAATATAATGTGTGCATGTTACCCTGCTCGGGAAGGGGACTGGAGCAGATGATTTCTGCAGGTTCCCTCCATCTAACCTGTTCTTTGATTCTGTATAGTGTTCTATAATTAATGAGCTTTGGACATCACAGATCAAGAGAAGCATTTTTGTTTTACTGAAGGAGAACATAAGCTCCTGGTCAGAAGTCATTTTTGCTTCTCTTTGTGCAATAAGGCCTGTCAGTTACTGTTGTAACTGCAACAGGCAGTTGTCAGCCTGTTGTTGTTGTTACGCTTGTGTACCTTGGCTCCAATCCGGACATGTTTGTGCTGTGGTAGTCCAACCTCAGTGAAGGTACTCAGTTTGAGGTCAGTCTTTGAATAAAATTCGTATTATCAAGGTAAAGCATTGATGTTTAGCATGTGTGTGCTGAATACCTAAAAAAATTTTCACTTGACATCACTACCTTAACAACTGTATTTCCTTTTTACTTTTCTGCAGGATGAACTCAAAGGAGATTATGAAAACATCCTTGTGGCTCTATGTGGGAAGGAAAACTAACAATTCACTCCCTGTTACTGATGATTTTTATCTTTGCCTTAGCTGTCTATAAGCAAAATATGAGCTATACACATCAAGGTTTCTCTGGAGTGGTACTTAGTCCACATATGTTACCTGGAAAACCTGTAACCTGGAATGTATTTTTGGGGATTTTTATTCTGTATGGCATGAATTTATACCATTATTTATCGAAAGCCAAGGAAAGCTCTCATATTTCTGTTTGCTTGATTAATCATGCAATTGCAAAGTTTTCATCCAAGTAAAGCAAATTAATATTGAAAAATAAATTAACCAGTGTGAGACTTAATAATATGGCACTTTTCTGCATTTAATACTACGTTGTCTGCATACAGTTCAGGGGAGAAACATCAACAAATGATTAGTATAATAAATAAATAATGTAACAAATTTATGCAATATGGCTGAACCTTTCCATTTTATTATTTTCTATCCATATTATTTTTCCATTTATTTCAGCTAAGGTGCATGAAAACCAAGGATTAAAAAATAGCCGAAGATAACGTCTTAGTAAATACTTTATGAATATCTTTAAAAAAAAAAAAAAGCTAATGATAACCTCTGCTTTTTTGTTATTGTTTAAATTACAGAATAAAGAGGCTTGCTATGCTGTGTAAATAGTAATAAAATGAATTGAAAAATAGAGCATATTCGATCTTGTCTTTATTTTTGATGGGTTGCAAGTTTTTTTTATTAGGATCTCCAAAATGGAGAAGAGTATTTTCTCTGATTTTTGGTAAATGTTTTTGCATAATGTTGCTCTTGCTGTTATGATAGAACAAACTAATTAGAGACTCCAAAGGCACTGGTGGGATTCAGCATTTCTCACCAAGCATTTTACGAGCAAAAGTTGATGATCTTTATAATGAGGTTCACCAGATGCTTGTTTGAGCAATAACATGCTAAACTATAGGGAAATTGAAGCTTATCATGGATTATTTTTGTTAAATCTGCCGCTACACCCAAAAGATATTTTTTCTCAGGCTATCACAATTTACTCTATTAGGAATCCATGCTATCCTCAAAGGGTTAAGTGTAAGAGAGAGATTCAGACCAAAGTAGATTGTGGGACTGTTTGATCAAGCTTCAGCTGTAGCCCCCCCAAAAAAAAGCTCTTTAAGCTTGTAGTGTGACGCTAACAATAGTAAAAAAAAAATATTAAAAGGCAGATGCTTGGAGAATTCAATACATGAGTACCCTAAAYCATTGAATAATGAGTAGGAAAGTTTGGTTTGTTGTTTGGTTGTTAGAAATGGTTAGTTGACAGGGATGACTCGAATTTGGAATGAAGATCATCAGCATTTTTTTTTTTTTCTTTTTTGGCAGCATCTTCTTTCTTCCTTTTTCASTAATGAACAAAACATATAGTACAAATTATTAATTGCAACTGTGGTTTCTTCTTGATCTTCTACCAATAATTTTAAGTATCATGTGTGCTTTGATAACACTTTGGCCATTTGTAACAGCCTAACAAAAATGAAGGAACTTTGATCAGTGAGTTTTAAGATACCACCTATAATGTTGACTGACTTTTGGACAAGTCAGTCTGGACTGAAGTTTTGGACTTCAGACTCATACTCTTTGAATGCTCTTCATTACTTCAGTTATAATAAGTACTTTGTGAGGCATAGGAGGGAAACACTTCTTGCTTGAACTTTCGTAGTGATTGTGAAATCCAGAGGTGCTGTAGTTGTGCAAAGGGAAAGAACCTGTTTTCATCAACACAGAGAACAATTTTGAAAATTATGTTCAGTGGGGAAGTCAACAAATACGAGAATGCAGCTTGGGAAAAACATCTTTAAAAAAGTATTTCCAATTAAAGTTTTAAGAATGTTCCAAAAACAGTATTTACTTGAAGTGGACACTCCTTTGACTTCTTTGTAGTCTTAAACATTGGCTCAGTGACATCATGTTCGCTTTGAAAGTCCTACCTATTAAACTTTGAAATGCAAACRAGGGAGTATCTGGACTTCCCATTTACAGGAGTTGTGAAGTGTAGCATATTGATGATAGGAAAAAACGGTTGTTTGGCAGGACTGAGCAATAGAAGAAAATGAATACAGTACATTACTGCATTCCTAACAGCTCTCCTAATTTCAAAATACCCTGCTAGAATTTCATGTCTGCTCCCTAGAGCCAAGAATTGCTCCATCTTAACTAAAATGTTTGTTTCTTTTTCTGCTTATGGCCATCACTGTCCCATTACAAACGCGCTTGCACTGAAGAGGAAGTATTGCTAGAAGTGTGCACAGAGGTGTGGAATCAAAGGTTTGCTGCCACCACAGTCCAGTATGTCTTCCTAGCCCTTTATGTGATGCTGTATAAAGAGGGTACAACATTCACATAAACCTATGTTCTAGGAAAGATTGATAGTTTTCAAAATGTTATTCAAAGAGCAAATGAGGTCTGCCTCCATGTCCATTTCACAAGTATTTTTAATGTATGATATGTTTATGCCGCTCCTTAATGCTAGAGGGGATTTGCAGACAACCATTACAGTCCAGAAACATCTTCAAATAATGAAAAAAACAGGATTTAAGAATATCAGTTTAGTGTGTGTGGAAGAGAAGGCTATTTGTAAACTTAAAATTTATGAGGTGCCGTTGTAGCAGCACCTACTAGCTTCTTGACATTGGGAAGGATCATCCTTGCCCTTTGGGGCTATGCTGCCCCAAATGCAGGGAGAGAAGTAGGCAGACAAGCAGATTTTTCTATTAAGACCATCAGCAAAGAGGTGTAAGTGAAACTCTAAAAATAAGCTATTCCAATCAGAATATTTGTAATAGYAGCTGCATTACTGCCCAGGTCAAGTGAACAAAAGCCATTTGGATCTTACTTGGTTTAACCTTCTTGCTTAGAGAAGGCCAAAACATTGCAGGTGTGTTCAAAATACAAGTTTCTAATGGGTCCATTCAACAGGATGTGTGAAACTTGTGTTAATCTTTATTTATGTGTCTCCAGATATCTACCAAGGAGGCCTATTTGTGCATTTTCTGCAGCTATCTCCTAATCAGTCACAGGTAGTAAGTGCCAGGACAAGTTAAAATGAGAGAAAGGAAATGATCTTTTAAAGTATTTTTAAATTTCTTTCAAATACAAGCAAATTTTCACCTCACATTTGAATGCATTTGGGCTGTTACACAGTTAGTTACACAGTACTGAGATTCTGAGGGTGGAGGCTTGCTTGGGCTTTGTTGGCATACTGGAATTTTCACCACTATTATAATAAAATACAGTACATGTTTGTATTTCATAATCCCGCCTCTGAGGTCAGAAATAGTGTTTAAAATTAACAAATACTTCAATCAAGTTTGAACAGGTATAGAACATGTCATGTTTTGGACACAATCAAAGGAAAATACTTATACTAGGATTGAAGTATAGTGGCTTATTTTTTATTAGTTCTCTATGGGAGTCTTAGACCTGCTATCTTCCAGCTACAAGGAAGGAGGGCCATCCAGCCACTTAAAACTTATGAAGGAGAAGAAAGGAGCTATAAGCTAGAAGACATCCTGTCAAACAGAACTAATTCTTTCTTCATTGTTTTTAAATGGTTCTGGTAAAGAAAAAGAAAAAGAAAAAGAAAAACAAAAACAAAAACAAAAACAAAAACAAGCTCCCTGCCTCCCCCCAAAAAAAGAAAAAAAAAGAAAAAAAAAAGTGAATGCTTTTGTGATCCTTTTGGCTTTGTCCTGATGAAACAAATGATATACATAGGAAGCTACCAAAAGGCTGCTGGCGTTTCCAGAGCTCTGGTGCCACCTCGTGAGTAAATTAAGAACAAGGACTAGGAAAAGGCATATTACAGCTGAAATTCAGCCTCAGTCAGATGGACACCTTATCTATTTTGTTACAGGCAGTCTCAGTGGTAAGAATTGAAGCGGTAAAGATTATGGACAATGGATCTTAACCTTTTCAGTATCTCTGTTTTATAAAGTTCTGGCGTCAGCAGGAAAGAAGGAGGAAAAAGCAAGTTAGCAGTAAGGAATGAGTTCTTAAAACAGATACAGATGGAAGTTTCTCAGAGCACTGAGGCTGAGAACTACCGTGAAATATACAGGAAGGTGCACACCAGATGTATATTGGTGTAATGCTACTTTACTACATGAAAAGTGCTAATATCTGTCAAACCACACTCTTGTAATAGAGACTCACTAACCCAATGATCTGTCTTTCTGTCTCCTATGATACAAAGAATGTTCTGAGCAGAGCTAATCAGGAGATTATTTTTCATGACATTTGGACTGCAATGGGAATAAGAGAGCCAGAGTGTGCTTCTAATAGTTATCATTAAAGCAGGTAACCATTAGGGCAAGATGATGCAACTCACCAGCCACATRAATTTGCTGAGGTTAAGGAGAAGAGACATCAAGTAGTTTTGGAAGTGAAACTCACTCATTTAATCTTAATTCCAAAGGTGACTTGGGCTGTATATTTTCTGTTGCTTTTTCCCAACATTATATGCTTCTGTTTTGACAAGTTACCCACAAACCTCTTTGATCAGGGCTTTACTTTTTCAGTTTTTTGCTTCTCCAATTTGTTAATTTTATTGTTCAGCAGTACAAATGTAGACAGATTAAGCACACAGACTGTAAGGAGTTCAGATATTATTAAACTTTGTCATTCACCATACCTGGAGAATATTCATCACCATATTTAGTGTCATTTTCATTGCTATTCTTTAAACATCAATGGATTGGGATGTTTCTGGACGTGTCTGAATAAACTGAGTCAAGAATTAAATCTTCTTGGTTCTTTGATAATAGCATGTGAAGATTGTCATTGAATGGTTTGCTGTGATCCTAACATAAGATTCCTGAACACTTGTGTGAATTACTGTCTAATGTGCACTTGAGTAACTTTATTAACAGTAACTTAACATCTTCAATTCAATTTGCTGTGCCTATTTCAAGCTCCTCAGTCCTGCCTTCTTGACTTTACTAAGTGACTGTATTTCTTATAAGCCTCATAACAGATTATGCCAGACTTCAGCAAGCCCAACTGATGTGTAGATTTGCTTTTGTTGTTTTATATGCAAAATGAAACTGGTTGGATAGTAAACTCACATTTTTTTTGTGGAGTTATTCTTGTTTGATGATGTAGATAATTAGGTTTATTTTTTAGATTTTTATATATATTTAAATTCATTTTTTTATTAAAATTTCAAGTACTGTGGAATATTCAAGAAATAAATGCTTCTCATTTATAAGTTATTACTGATTTATTTCCAGATTCTTTATTCTAAGGATAAATGATACAGACAAACACATTTTATTTTATTTTATTTTATTTTATTTTATTTTATTTTATTTTATTTTATTTTATTTTATTTTATTTTATGGATACCGTCCTGTTCTTCAGAAAATATTGAGCAGGGAGGGAGATTTTTTGTGTTATTATCTGAAATTTTCATCATGTAGTATTACCTGAAATGTATCAATTTTACTTCTACCTGATTGAAGGAAATGCTGTTAACTTCTGCACTGTCTCAGAAGTACTTTGCCTCATAGSAAACAGGAAATCTTGTTAAAGTCTTGTACTTCAGCCAGGCCTGGGAAGAAAATTGATCTTTTTATTTATTTATTTAAATCAAATGCAGATATAAAAACCTGGGAAATCACTCAGACATATAATTTCACTCAA